CCGTCCGGGGGACATATTGATTAAAGTTCTAAGTTGATTCTGTTTGGAGAGAGATCAGGGAAGGCCTTCTGCCTGTGTCACAGAAATTAGGGAGTAGTCTAATATAGCAAGCATCAGAAAGACAGAGATCATCTTTAAGGTGAGCGCCGAGGCAGCTTTTCAAAACCCCTGAAGTCCTGATCTGCCTTGCTTGTCAGGTCTTCTCCTCACGACCTTGTCATGGGTGGGATCTCTTGTGCTGGCTCCCGGCACATGAGCTTAAATGAGCTTTCTAAAAATGCAAAATTGGAATTGTGCTTTTTTTAAAAATTTTTAATTCTGAGAATTGCTTTTTTAACACTGTAACATTAAATAGCTGTCTGGTATTCTGTCATGGTCATAACCTCATTTATTTACAAGTAACCTAATATTGAATGTGGAGGTCAGTAGAATTTATTGGTCAGAGACAGTATATGAATAATGTTAACTTTACTAGGCGTTTGCTACTTGCTGTGCATTGCCCTGCATGCCAAGCTTCCTTCTGCTCTGTGCTTTTTCTGGATCTCACCTCCTGCCCCCACCCTTGGCCCCCCAGGTCTGGAGCCCCTCTGTGTGGGAGGCGTGGCCCCTCTGCTCCAGGCCCTCCTCAGGGAACAGCCTGACACCCCTCCTTTCCTCCGTGCTTCCGGGCAGTGCCCACTCAACAGATGGCTCTCCTTTTAGATAGCCTACTTTCGTGTGTTGATTTATATTCTGTTTTTAAAAATTCACTTAATTTAAGAGAAGAGTGTTTAAATTTTTTCCATAGGTGTATGGATTTATGAAACAGCCATATTACAAATGTTTGAAAGTTTTATCGTTTTACACGGTATGAGGATCTAGTCAGGTTTTCTGGAAATTAGGTGGAATTGGTAAGTATAAGTTTCTTTTTCTTAGGTAACATTATGGAGACGATGGATAACCACCTTTTAGTGTCCTGTGTTCACCTCACTTAGGTCAAGCACCTTTTACTAAGACAGGTGGTAAAAGCAGTCATTTTAAGAGGTGCCTGTAGTTGTTATTTGAGCCCGTGACTTCCTTTTCAGAGCCTACTAACTGTGGTGAATTGTGCTGTACTCATTAACGGTTGTGGATTTTCTGCCAGGATGGGGAGCACAGACACCGTGGTGCGAGCCTGAGGAGAGACGGCCCGGGCAGCCAGTGAGTGGAATGTGTCCTTCTGCTGATTGCTGTGTCTGTAGCTCAGTTCTCCCAGAATGCGTCAGAATGGACCTTTCCTCTTGGGCCTGATTACGGCCAGGAGAGGAGCGTACGCTGCAGATAGACGTCGGGTTCTCCAGGCAGGAGCCCTGCAAGCTGTGTCTCCGGGGTCCTGCGGGAGCTGGGAGCTTGTTACGGTTACGAGTCCTGCTTGGCCCCTTGCACGCTTGCTGGTGCAGCTTCAGCACGTCAGCCCTCCCCGGCACCAGTCTCCGGGAGTCTCTGCTCTGCGGGGGAGGGCACCTGCAGGTGGCTCTGGGCGTCCGGTTCCCAACCCCGGGATGCTGAGCACAGACGTGCCCAGCAGACCCGCTGCCCCGTGTTTGCAGCTCAGGCAAGGCGTGGGCACTGCCCACCGCTGCGTCCACCCTTCCTGGGGGTGGCTGGCCCTTCAGAGCCTGTCTTTACTGTGAAGCTCGGACGAGGCCAATTTTGTGAGTTTTATGAAGATTAAGGTTAGAGTTTGCATGTAAATCCTCACTTTGTATGTGAGCTCCAGATTATAATTTGTTCTTTGCAGCAACAATATTTGGTGATTCTTTTCCACAGATTAGGGAGATTCAGGTTAAATGCCTTGCCCTAAATCTTACAAGTTTGCACAAAATTATGCTTAAGCCTGGGTGCAGATTCCTAGATTTTGTATTGCATGTCTGCTAGAAATGCAATGAAGCTTTTGCTTGATTCTGTGTGATTTTAAACATAGTGTGTGTTGAATTGGTATGAATGTTAAGTTCCAAATATTGAGAATCAGATTGTAATTTTGAAAACCTTATTTTACATCCAAAGTAAACATATAAATTATGTTCCATAAAAATAGAACATAATTCAAGATAAATCTTTTGGAAATATTATATTAAACCTAAAACATTTGGGATTGATTCTCTAATAAAATTATACAAATTTTCTAGAACTCTTAAAGGACATAGATTTATACATAAACACAAGTTTGTTAAAACGCATAATTTCTTCTCTCTACTGAAGATATTTCCTATCTTGTACTACGGCTAAGACAGTAAAAATAGTTTAAAAAAGTTTAAACTATAGTTTAAAAATAGTTTTAAAAAGGCCTTAATTCTAATAAAGTTCTAATGATAGTTCTAATAGTGTGCTTTGCAAATATGCCAACCTATAGGCATTCTTAATCATATCAAATACTGACAACAGCCTTCACTGAGATGAAAATGCTTTAATTTTCAAGTCTTTGTTTAAAATTAATTTGACTTTGATCATACTTGCTTTCTAGGCATGTGGAGAACTCAGTGAGGAGTGACGGGAAGGATAGAGACTCAAGAAGAAAGGTGAGACCCTTCCCGGGGGTTCTGTGGTAGGTCCAGCGACTCTGAGGGCAGAGCCTGGCAGGCTTTTTTTCACGTGGTTTCCTTGAATGGNAAAGTGGTATCATCTACATATCTGAGGTTATTGATATTTCTCATAGCAATCTTGATTCCAGCTTGTGCTTCATGCAGCCCGGCATTTCACCTGATGTACTCTGCATGTAAGTTAAATAAGTTGGGTGACAATATACAACCTTGAAGTACTCCTTTCTCAATTTGGAACCAGTTCCATGTCCAGTTCTAACTGTTGCTTTTTGTCCTGCATACAGGTTTCTCAGGAGGCAGGTAATGTGATTTGGTATTGCCATCTCATTAAGAATTTTCCACAGTTTGTTGTGATCCACAGAAAGGTTTTAGTGTAGTCAGTGAAGCAAAAGTAGATTTTTTTTGGAATTCCCTTAATTTTTCTATGATCCAGCATATGTTGGCAATTTGATCTCTGGTTCTTCTGCTTTTCTAAATTTGTCTTGTACATCTGGAAGTTCTTGGTTCACATATAGCTGAAGCCTGGCTTGGAAAATTTTGAGCATTACTTTACTAGCGTGTGAGGTGAGTGCAATTGTATAGTAATTTGAACATTCTTTGGCATTGCCTTTCTTTGGGATTGGAATGAAAACTGACTTTTTCCAGTCCTGTGGTCACTGCTGAGTTTTCCAAATTTGCTGGCATATTGAGTGCAGCACTTTCACAGCATCATCTTTTAGGATTTGAAATAGCTCAGCTAGAATTCCATCACCTCCACTAGCTTTGTTCATCGTGATGCTACCTAAGGGCCCACTTGACTTTGCATTCCAGGATGTCTGGCTCTAGGTGAGTGATCACACCATCACGGTTATCTGGGTCATGAAGAGCTTTTTTGTATAGATCTTCTGTTTATTCTTGCCACCTCTTCTTAATATCTTTTGCTTCTGTTAGGTCCATACCATTTTTGTCCATTTTTGTGCCCATCTTTGCATGAAATGTTCCCTTGGTATCTCCCATTTTCTTAAAGAAATCTCTAGTCTTTCCCGTTCTTTTGTTTTCCTGTATTTCTTTGCATTGCTCACTTAAGAAGGCTTTCTTATCTCTCCTAGCTGTTCTCTGGAGCTATGCATTCAGTTCGGAATATCTTCCCCTTTCTCCTTTGCCTTTTGCTTCTCTTCTTTTCTTAGCTATTTATAAGGCCTCCTCAGACGACCACTTTGCTTTCTTGCATTTCTTTTTCTTTGGGATGGTTTTGGTTATCACCTCCTGTACAGTTTTATGAGCCTTTGTCCATAGTTCTTCAGGCTCTCTGTTTACCAGATCTAGTCCCTTGAACCTATTTGTCACCTCCTCTGTATAATTATACAGGATTTGATTTAGGCCATAGCTCGATGGCCTAGTGGTTTAACCTGCTTCCTTCTGTTTGCTGGGAAGAACAATCTTTTTCTTTCTCTGATAGCTATCTGAAACACTGGACTGTGAGAGAGCTGTCTTGAGCACCTGGCGCCGTGTTTTTGCGGGTCTGTACTCCATGCACACACAGCAGCACAGAGCTTTCTGATGAGTCAGGTCGTGCAGCTGTTGGTTGATGTGAGGATGTTTTTTAGTCTGGGCAGCGGTTGCATTCCTCCCTGTCCAGGTGTAGCCACACCCTACTAAAAAGTGAGCCTTATAGGTAATTCTTCCCACGTAGTCTTTTTTCTGTATAATCTTTGAGTGTGCTGTTTTGATGTCTGTGTTGGGGGGGTCGATGCCTTTTTTCTGTCTTGCTCACACCTGCAGCATGTGCGGTTTGTCCTGATTCTGTGGAAACCCCTCTAGCTATAATGATTCAGATCTCCCTCCTACTTCTCTTGAGTAAGTTTCTTGAACTGGAATTATTGAATGAAAATATCCAGTTTTTAATATTTTCTTTCTGTCTCTCAATTTTTTTACCAAGGGTTAGCATTGTTCACTAGAATTATAATGTGAGCCATGTTTGTAATTTTAATTTTTTTGTTAGTCATCTTAAAAAAGAAACATAAATTTTAATAACATATAATCCAGCGTTTCTGAAAGTCTTTCAACATGTAGCCAATGTACAAAATTAGAATTGTACATTCTTTTTTTCACCAAAGTAGCAAAATATGAGAGGTGTTTTTCCCCTGAGAGAGCCCAGAAGTGATCTTGAAGACAGCTGGCAGCCGGTTTGGCTTATGACTGGCCATGTGTTTTATAGCATCAGCCCTGAGTTACCTTGGTCTAGTTGCTCAGCATTTACATGGCGACCCCACACTACGCCAGATGAAGCTTCCGGGTGGAAAGCTGTTCCGCTTCCTGCTGGGGGCGCCATGCTACCCCCACACCTTCGCCTCCAGTGGTCGCTGGCGGTGACATCTGTGAGCCGTGCCTTCGGGGGCCATGGCCCCAGTGGGACAGCCAGGTGCCCCCGCCTCACCGGCACCTGGAGGAAGGTTCAGTCTCCCCGTTTCTCGGAGGAGGACACTGAGGCCCGGAGAGGTCGAGTTCGCTGTGAGGCGCGGCCCAGCCGGTGCCCCTCACGTGGTCCCTGGCCCCCGCGGGAGCAGGCTGCGTCCCGGGCCTCCCCTCCGGCTGACCCGCTGTGCTCTGTCCCCCAGCACGGCCGCGAGGAGGGCCCCTCGGCGTGGAAGCTGGAGCAGAGGCAGGGGAGCGAAGAGGCCACGGTGAGGGGAGGAGGCGTCCGTCTCCGCCCGGAGGACGCTGGGCTGGAGGGGCTGCTGTGCGTTGGCCCTGCGCCCCCCGTGTGCACTCCCAGGAGCTCGGGCTGGACGCGCCCCCAGCCTTCGCGCTGTTTCTCTTCCTTGAAAGTCAGTAGGTTTGGGGAGAAGGCAAGGAAGTGAACAGAGGCCTCACAAAGACACGATCCGGGTGTTGTCAGTGAGGAGCCGTTCAGGGAGCAGAAAGTTTGCAGAAAAACGCCGAGCCAGCGGTGGAGGAGCAGCCCGCTCCTGCAGGAGCTGCTGGTGGCGCTGGGGCGTTCTTTCTGAACCGGGGTAGAGCGGGGGCCCTGAGCTCGGGGCCCCGGCAGGCCAGGGACGCTCTTCTGTCCCTGTCCTCCCGTCTGTCCCCGGCAGGCACCTTGGGTGGCTGGGGGGCCCGTGGCCCGTTTGCCAAGCAATGGGTTGTTGGGACGTGGAGAGCCTGTGATGCTGGGTCTCTGGTTTATTTGTTCACTAACCAGAGACCCACTTTTTTCTTTGGCCATCAGAATTTAGAGTTTTCTCAAGAAGAATATGATTGATAACTCTTTTCTCTTTCTGGTCATACTTATAAGTCAGGGTATTTAAGAGTTGCGATTAGGTTATGTTAATTTTATAAATATTTGAATTTCTAAATTAACAACCTGAAGTGAATCTCAGAAAACATGTATTTTACAGCCTATTTGCAAGAATCAACCTGAGATTGAATATTTTAATTGTATGTTTGATTTCTGCCTGTAGGAAATTGAAAAGGAAGACATTGATTTAGAAAATGTTGGAACGGATGAGTATACAGCCATTTTTGAAGATGATTTTGAAGTAGGTATTTAGAATTTTCTTATCTTAAGGATAGTTTGTTCTAAAATCAGAAACAATTGTTTTTCCGTCTCCTCTTATTGCTGTCAGTACTCCGTATCTATTTGATTTAGATCTGGTTCCGATAAAAAGTTTGCTGTGCATCTACCATTGCTGACCAGTATAGTGTAATTAAATGATTTTTCAGTTTAGCCTGTCGGTAATGCACTACAGTCAAACGTGTGTGTGTGCACACATGTGTGCATTATGTGTGTGCATGTGTGTGTGTCTACATGAAGTACACATGGATATACATGTCTCTGTGTGCTCACTCTCCCATTGTCGGCACAGGTGCGTTTGCACTGTATTGTTCACCCAGAGCTCTCAGAGTGCACAGTTCTGTCGGGGGTATGTGGACGCGGAGGAGCAAGCACAGCAGCTTGCACAGAAACCTGTGAGCTGCAGGGCGCCCAGGCACACAGGGCCCCGTCTGTGCGTCCTGCCGGCTGCGTGCCCCGCCCACGAGCGTGTCCGCTCTGCGTGCAGGACTATGAGGACGACTTTGAGGTCTGTGACGGGGCTGACGACTGCGGGGCAGACGAGCCCAGAGAGGGTGAGGCAGCGGAGGAGCTGCCTCCGGCCCGGAGGAGGGAGATCCAGGAGATCCAGAAGGCCATCCTCGCGGAGAACCAGCGGGTCGGCGAGCTGTCCTCGAAGCTGCCAGAGAAGCATGGCTGCCCGGAGCGTGCTGGGGGGCCGGGCCCGGGTACGTGAGTGGACAGCACCCCAACCCCGGGGCGCGCGCGTGTTGAGGCCCTGCTTGGGGAGGGCAATGCGGCGGGGCCATGCCATGTGCTCACTCGGTGTCTGAGGCCCCAGCTGCATTTGTTTTGAGGAAGAAAGTGACGGCGTCGGCAGGAGGCTGGCCGTGGTGGGGCAGCCGTGGCAACTTTCTCTATGAAACTGGGAATGTGTTTTGCTCCGGAGCTCTTGGCACCTGGGTATGCAAAGATTACTTGTCAGGGCAGGGGAGTGCTCTCCATGAATGCTTCTGACAGCCCGGAGTGACAGTGCTTTGAGTCAGGAGAAACAGGAGGTGCTCGGTCAGCACCTTCTCTCGGCCTCTCAGGCTGCAAGACGGCAGGACAGGGCACGCTCTTTGCCTAAGTCCAAACACACATCCAAGGGGAATGAGAAGATAGGGTGAGAATAGTGCATAGAGAAATATACGGGTTTGTCCGCACGCTAAGTGCACGGGTCCCTGGAGGCTGAGGCCCGGGAGGTGGACCCCATGGAGGGAAGGGGTGGAGCGGTCTGTCCCGTGGGGGCTTCTGGTGGTCCGTGGCCCGTCACCAGGCCGACCAGCCTGCCCGCTGTGACCTGATGGACCACTGCCTGTGTCTGCCCGTCTCCTGCTCCCTGCTGCAGTGATTGGCTTGTCCAGCCTGCACCAGCCTCCGTGTGTTTCCCGGCTGCTCTGTGTGTTCACACCTCAGCTCCCTCACCCGAGAAGAGGGGTTTGGAGCGGGCAGGGGAGAGTGGGGTGGGAGTGGAGGACTGACCACCCTTATATGTGTTCTTAAATATTTCTGGAAGTAGTGTGATTGGCACAGATGTAGGAAATTTTGCTTTGTTGCAGGTTTTAGATGAAATGAGCAGAAGTGGTTCCTAAGTGCACATAGAAGACATTTGTCATTAGTTGAGTGAACATAATTGGTTTACGTGTCTAATTGGTTTACTCTTGATTTCTTTTGCTTGAAAGAAATATTTCAGTTTCACAAAAATACCTTTTTTTTTTATGTGCAGAGGCAAACAGCTCCGCTTCCAAAACCCCCCTGTGTGGAATTTTCATGGATTTTGCCACAGCCTCACACCGTCAAAAGAATCGGACTCAGACCCTTAAGCAAAAGTAGGTGTACTGGGAAAATTGCAGATGGAATTAGGAGTTTCTGTACTTCCCTGCAATGGACGTTTAAATATTAGCTTTTGTTTTGTTGTCACTGCTGGTGTTCAGGCCCGTGGTTTCATTTGTGCTGTGTTCCCGAGTCCTGGGTTGTATTCCCGGTGCAGTGCTGTAGGCGAGCTCGGCCCGGCATCTGTGTCAGTTCTGGGGGGGCCCCGGGAGCCCCGCGTCACGGCCGGGCCGCGGCACAGGCGCCCTGGAGGCGGGCGGCAGGACTGAGAGCAGAGGGCGGGGCGGTCCGCCTGTGCCCCGTGCCTCCCGCAGCCGTGTGGGCCGCGCGCTCTCAGCCGGCGCCCCTTGTCTCAGGCGGGGGAGCTGGAGAGTCACAGCAGAAAGCCTCATGTCAGCCAGCCATCCTGTGTCCCGGGCACTGAGCCCCCGTGGGCTGCAGGCTGCCTGTGCAGACCCGGGTCAGCCCAGCGAGGGTGGAGATGAGGGTGAAGAGCCAGGGCCAGCGGGGTCAGAGTCCAGACTGCTGTGAACACAGAAGCTCAGGAAAGTGAAGGACAGACTCTCAGCCCACGTCTGCGGTACCGAGCCCAGTGCAGTCTGGGGTAGATGTCGCAGTCCACCGGGTTGGGCTGGACACAGTGGACTTAGGCAGAGTGTCCAGTCAGCCAGGGAGCCATGCTGGCAGGAAGCAGCCTTCACCCCACCTCCCCCGAGAGCGCCCGCCCCCTGCAGCAGAGGGAGCCAGGGTGAGGTTGGCAGGGGCTCGCCCGGCTGGACGCACCCCCAAAGTGGGGGGCATCGACAGCAGTGGGAGCTGGGGGTTCGGCCCTGTAGCCTCGCTGTCCACGGGGGCCCAGCGTGGTGACTGTGCGTGTGGACGACCCGCTGCTCCCGGGCCCGGCCTCCGTCCTGCTCTTCCCTCCAGGACGCGCAGCGCAAAGCTGCTGCGGCTCATCGACATGGACTTCTCCTTCACCTTCTCCCTCCTCGACCTCCCGCCCGTGAAGGAGTACGACATGTACATCCGGAACTTCGGGAAGAAGAACACCAAGCAGGTTAGCTTGTGCGGTGGCAGGGCCTGAGGTGTGACGCGTGCTGTCCTGACGTCAGAGCGGGGGTGGCAGGACACTCATCACCTGGAGCCTGTGCTCTGGGGGCGCCTGGGCACGGACGTGGCTCACTCGCAGGCTCTGAGGACAGCCTGGGACAGGAGGCTTTACTAAAAGTCACCGGGAGTCACCTGCAGTCACCTGCTCCCATCCCTGTGGGCCTGCAGCGTCTTGCATGTATGACCCTAGGTGCAGAGGCTCCAAGATTTGGGCTGGAGTGCCCCCCTACCTACCTCCCCCCGAGCTCCCAAGGTTCTGGACTTGCCTCGGGGTCCTTCCTGCCTGTTCCATTCCGCTCACCCTTACTTGGGAAATGCGGCCCTGGCCAGGCCCTCTGGTATATGCCCTTGGGTCCCCCCCACCTGCCCCTGGGCCCCCCTCACCTGCCCCTGCAACCCCCTTGCAGGCTCCTTGGTCATCTGCCTGTCCTTCTCTGTTACCTGGCCTATGCCGTCCCTGCCTCATCCCTTATTTGTCTTCCTGTCTCTCTGTCCACGGCCTGTCCTCCAGGTGAACTAGGTGACCCATCCCTGCGTGCCCTCTGACCCCCGTGTTGCTCTAGTCCGCCCCACACCACTCTGCCCTTCCCCGTCTCACTTCCAGCCATTGACTGTGAGGTCCTGAAGTCAGAAGTCCCTCCAGTGTTTCTCCCCTGTCCCCATGGAGCCATCCCTCAACATGCTCTTTGGTGTGTCTGTCAATAATCTTTTAACAGGAAGAGGGTTGGAGCAGGAAATTTAAGAAGCTGACAGACTAACCCTGGCTTTGCAGCCAACCCACTCTGACCTTGAGTAGACTCTAACTTCTTTGTTTATTTTCCTTATCTCAAAGCTTTTTGTTGTCATTGTTCAGTTGTTAAGTCATGTCTGACTCGTTGTGACCCCATGGACTGCAGCACGCCAGGCCTCCCTGTCCTTTACCATCTCCAGGAGTTTGCTCAAACTCATGTCTATCAAGTCAGTGATGCCATCCAACCATCTCATCCTCTGTCGTCCCCTTCTCCTCCCACCTTCAATCTTTCCCAACATCAGGGTCTTTTCCAATGAGTCGGCACTTCATATCAGGTGGCCAACGTATTGGAGATCAGCTTCAGCATCAGTCCTTCCAATTAATATTCAGGATTGATTTCCTTTAGGATGGACTGGTTTGATCTCCTTGCAGTCCAAGGGGCTCTCAAGAGTCTTTAACACCACAGTTTGAAAGCAATAATTTTTCAAAGCTTTTAGTTAATATCAAAACTGAAGCATGTACCTTTTTGAAATAAATTTGTGTCTGGTTTAGCAAAGCTGGTATGTTGTAAGAGACTAGGGTATTGGCGGACTAGATCATGAGATTTTTTTTAAAGATTTTGTTTACTTATTTATCTTTGACTGCATCGGGTCCTAGCTGCGGTGTGTGGCCCCTCTCTAGTTGGGGTGCGCGGGCTCCAGAGTGCCTGGAATCAGTAGTTGGGCCCAGCAGATGCAGTGTGCAGGCTTGGTTGTCCTGAGGCAGGTGAGATCATAGTTTCTTGACCACGGATAGAACCCACGTCCCTTGCACTGAAAGGTAAATTCCCAACCTCTGGACCATGAGGGAAGTCTCTAGGTCATAGTATTTTCAAACTGGAGTCAGACTGTTTGATGTAACTTTTGAGAACACTTTTGAAATTTAGGCCCAATTTTTTCAAACGTTTAAGACAAAAGCAGTCTTTGCATAATTGTTATTCATGCCATGATGCTTAATTTGGTCAGAAGTAAGAACAGTGTCATCCTTAACTTAAAAAACTTAGTTGTTTTCTTTTCAGCAATGAGAAATGGATCAGAGGTGGAGACCCAGAGCTAACCTGGCCTGCCTTCCTTCTCAGGCCTACATTCAGTGTAATGAAGACAGTGTGGACCGGGACATCCAGACTGAGGAAGTGGAGACTCGGGAAGTGTGGACCCAGCACCCGGGGGAAGGCGCCGCTGTGTCTGGGGGTAACGGCCTCTGCCCTAGGCCTTGGCGGTTGTGTTCATCCCCTTTCTTGTTCTTTCCTCGGTCTCGTATGTGCTTGCGTGTGTGCTGACTGTGGAAATAGCAGTGAGTTTGCAGACACCACCGCAGCCTGGAGGCCTGGCCTGGGCCCTGACTGAGGCTCATGACACTCGTTCTTGAATAGAGGAGAGAGCCCGACTCCAAACCAGCACCCGCAGCGGTGCTGCTCAGAGACCCCGTGCTCTCCAGTGGCTCCCATGCTTAGAGCGTTTTCTTCCCGAAGTACATTCTCCAGCTGTGTCACATTGAGACAGGTGGAAGGCCCTGGACGGTGTGGAGTTCTGCGCCCGCTGGTTCTTCTCAGTTACTTATGTGCTATTACTTCACTGGATGATTGTTTACTCTGAGGAATTACCTGTGTCACTCCCGTTCCTCAGGGAAGCTTTATCCTAAAAAGAAACAAACCTAAACATTGTTGTTCAGTTGCTTAATCATGTCTGGCTCTTTGTGACCCTGTGGACTGCAGCAGGCCAGGCCTCCCTGTCCTTCATTATCTCCTGGAGCATGCCCAAACTCAAGTCCACTGAGTCGGTGATGCCATTCAACCATCTCATCCTCTGTCATCCCCTTCTCCTCCCGCCTTCAATCTTTCTCAGCATCAGGGTCTTTTCAAATGAGTCAGTTCTTCACATCAGGTGGCCAAAATATTGGGGTTTCAGCTTCAGCATCAGTCCTTCCAATTAATATTCAGGGTTGATTTCCTTTAGGTTGACTGGTTTGATCTCCTTGCAGTTCAAGGGACTCTCAAGAGTTTTCTCCAACACCACAGTTCAAAAGTATCAATTCTTTGGTGCTTAGCCTTCTTTATGGTCCAACTCTCACATCCATATATGACTGCTGGAAAAACCACGGCTTTGACTATACAAATCTTTGTCAGCAGAGTAATGCCTCTGCTTTTTTATACACTGTCTAGGTTTGTCATAGCTTTCCTTCCAAAGAGCAAGTGTCTTTTATTTTCATGACTGAAGTCACCATTCACAGTGATTTTGGAGCCCCTTTAAAAAAGTCTGTCACTGTTTCCCCTTCTATTTGTCATGAAGTGATTTGCCTGGATGTCATGATCTTAGTTTTTTTAATATTGAGTTTTAAGCCAGCTTTTTCACTGTCCTCTTTCACACATATCAAGAGGCTCTTTTGTTCGTCTTCACTTTCTACCATTAGAGTGGTATCATCTTCATATCTGAGATTGTTGGTATTTCTTACAGCAGTCTTGATTCCAGCTTGTGCTTCATCCAGCCTGGCATTTCACGTGATGTACTCTGTGTGTAAGTTAAATAAGCAGTGTGACAATATACAGCCTTGACGTACTCCTTTTTAAATTTGGAACCAGTCTGTTGTTCCATGTCCAGTTCTAACTGTTGCTTTTTGTCCTGCATACAGGTTTCTCAGGAGACTGGTAAAGTGGTCTGGTGTTCTCATCTCTTTAAGAATTTTCCACAGCTTGCTGTGATCTGCACAGTCAAAGGCTTTCATGTCGTCAGTGAAACATGTTTTTCTGGAATTTCCTTGCTTTCTCTCTGATCCAGTGAATGTTTGTAATATGATTACTGGTTCTTCTGCCTTTTCTAAATCCAGCTTATACATCTGGAAGTTCTTGGTTCACATACTACTGAAGCCTAGCTTGAAGGATTCTGCGCATAATCTTGCTAGCAGTTTGAGCATTCCTTGGCATTGCCTTTCTTAGGGATTGGAGTCAAAAACTGACCTTTTCCAGTCCTGTGGCCATTGCTTAGGTTTCCAAATTTGCTGGCATATTGAATGTAGCACTTCAGCAGCAGCATCTTTTACGATTTTAAGTAGTCCAACTGCAATTCCATCACCTCCGCTTTGTTCGTAGTGATACTTCCCAAGACCCACTTGACTTCGCACTCCCAGATGTCTGGCTCTAGGGGAGTGATCACACCATCATGGTTATTCTGGTCATTAAGAGCTTTTTTGTATAGATCTTCTGTGTATTCTTTCCACCTCTTAATCTCTTCTGCTTCTGTTAGGTCCTTACTGTTTCTGTTTTTTATCATGCCTATCCTGGCATGAAATATTCCCTCGAGTATCTCCAATTTTCTTGAAGCAATCTCTAGTCTTTCCCATTCTATTGGTTTCTTTCTTTTTTTGTTTAAAACTGTTACTGGTCAAAAAAATGGAAATTATAAAATTATTGCATAGGGAAAATATGCTAGTAATTTAAAAACAGGCTAAATAATAAAGTTTGCATATGTTAACAGGTGGAAGGCTGAGAAGAATCTTTTTTTTAATATTCTTACACCATAAGATTTATTGTTTTTATTTGAGATGTTGCCAAGATTTTTTTTGAGTATTTTAAAAGTTTTATCATTATTTTTTTTTATTTTTTAAAAAAATCTATTTTAACTGGAGGCTAATTACTTTACAATATTGTAGTGATTTCTGCCATACATTGACATGAATCAGCCGTGGGTGCACATGTGTCCCCCATCCTGAACCCCCCTCCCACCTCCCTCCCCATCCCTCAGGGTCGTCCCAGTGCATCGGCCCTGAGTGCCTTGTGTTCATGCATTGAACCTGGACTGGTGATCTAGTTCACATATGGTAATACACATGTTTCAGTGCTGTTCTCTCAAATCATCCCACCCTTGCCTTCTCCCACAGAATCCAAAAGTCTGTTCTGTACATCTGTGTCTCTTTTGCTGTCTCGCATATAGGATCATCATTGCCATCTTTCTAAATTCCATATATATGCATTAGTATACTGTATTGGTGTTTTTCTTTCTGACTTACTTCATTCTGTATAGTAGGCTCCAGTTTCATCCACCTCATTAGAACTGATTCAAATGAATTCTTTTTAATGGCTGAGTAGTATTCCATGGTGTATATGTACCACAGCTTCCTTATCCATTCGTCTGCTGATGGACGTCTAGGTTGCTTCCATGTCCTGGCTATTATAAACAGTGCTGCGATGAACATTGGGGCGCACATGTCTCTTTCAGTTCTGGTTTCCTTGGTGTGTATGCCCAGGAGTGGGATTGCTGGGTCATATGGCAGTTCTGTTCCCAGTTTTTTAAGGACTTTCCACACTGTTTTCCATAGCGGCTGTACTAGTTTTCATTCCCACCAACAGTGTAAGAGGGTTCCCTTTTCTCCACACCCTCTCCAGCATTTATTGCTTGTAGACTTTTGGATAGCAGCCATCCTGACTGGCGT